CTGCTCCTCCACACCGCAACACGAGCACCTTGTGAGGCAGGTCTGGGTGAAGGGCAACCCTCTGCAAGACACTACTCCAATGCTGACAAGAGCGTGGGCTAAACACAGTTCTATTACCGTTTCAAGTGTTCAGACTCACAGTTGTTATTTTAACTCTTCATTTTATATATCCCCTAGCGTACTAGGAAATTGGTTTATGTTGGTAGAATCCCTACTGGGAGGACTGACTCCATTTTCCTGCAAAAATAACCGTACAAGAGTAGCACAATTTCATGCCAACAACAGCAAGTGAAATTTTTCTGACAAAGAAAATGTTCCTTGAGGAATTTCATCACAATCACAGTATTTTGTAAAAAGATCCAGCTTTAAACTAAATTCTGCAAATCTTTTTGCAAGAACTTTTCATACGGGGAGAAGGCAAACCAGAAGAAGAAGAAGTTCTTTCCATCTCACTTCCCATGTTGCCATAGCTCCACGTTGAAAAAAAATGTTTTGGTATCTTGAACACCACAATAAATGGAGCACATCAGTAAATAGGATCATGTTCTGTCTCACATACTCTTTCCTCAGACTACCCTTCCATCCATTAACATTCCAATATGATGGAACTGCTAATGTCTAAGATGATACACAATGTAAGCAGCAGTCTTCTGTTAGGATCTTTGCTCAGCTGTTGAGATAAGGGGAGTGATTCTGCCTCACACTGTCAAAATCATGCCAGGATTGCAGGTCTTGTATCCCTGGTCCTCACTATGGCTGACTAAAGTTGTAAAGCAGGTCCTATATATTTATTTTACTTCACAGTGCTTCCCTTCCTCCTGCTTTTGAAAGATAAAAGAGTGGAGTCTGGAAGCAACACAGGTCAAGCTCAGCAGCTGAGTCTTACAAAGGAAAAGAAAGGGTATTTTTCTAATGCTGCACTAATGCTTTATTCCCCAGTGGGCAGCCAGCAAACCCCAGCTCAGAAGCGGCTGTCTTCCACAAAACACTTCGTGGAGGAGAATCAGACTGTCAAGGGGCGTACAGGTAAAGTTGAGATTACCTAACAGGAGGTGGCATAATATAGTAAGTTGGGACTTGCTGTTTGGAAGGCAATTGCCCTGTTGAACTTTCTTTCCCCCATCTCATGGCAACCCTGTGGAGATACAAAGAGGAGTCTGAATGACAGTCACTTTACCAGAGGCAGAGAGGTCCATCAGAGGAATATTTCCCTGGGACATAACAAATCAGTCAAGGTACAGCAGGTGGGGATGGAGAGGGCAGGGAGGCAGACTGTAAAGCTGTGCTAGTCAGTTCAGCAGCACTTGCTGAGTCGCATGGAGATGTTTCCTACCTGGAGCCTGAGCACCAGAACAATCACGGCCAGGGAACGGCAAGTATGCCTTTGTCCAAAGCCTTGCTCACCTGTTTGAAATGGATGCTAGCTAAACCTCCTCACTTGAGGTTAAGGTCACTTCTCCTGGATTTGCAGAAACGCAACAGGTGAGCCTGTGCTTCCACACTTAGTAATCCTTCAGCAGCAATCGCCAACACCTTCCCGCAAGCCCTGCTAAGCAGTCGTCTTGTGGGGACGGGCTGAGTTCAAAGCTGGTCCTTGACTTTTTACCCACCACTGATTTTGGGCTGATCCCAAAACACTGTGGACATTACATTCATACATCATTACAGCAACCACAAAAGAGGCAACTTATCTAGGAGAAACAGAAGCAAGCCCTGGGTCTATGACAGAGCAGAAGTTTGTAACACCAATGATTTCCACAGTGCAAGTGAACTCTATCATTCAGCAGACCTGCAAGACTGTAGCACAAAGAGCGCAGCAGCCATCTTAGTGTGATGTCTCTGACCTCAGCATGGATAGGAAGACTAATCATGAGATGTCTCCTTTGTGACTGGTTTAGTTTTCAGAGGTTTAATAGCTGTCACTCTCCTGAAGCAGAACGGCCTCATCCGTGGCTATGGTAACAGGGAAAAAGGTGGTGGTACAGCAGTCTGAGAGCAAAAGAGACAGCTCCATGTCACACGCCCACAAACTAAGCCAGTAAAAGGGTCATCTGGTATATGAAGTGGTGAGTAGAAAAATGGTTACATAAATGCTATGGCTCACTGGGTAAGAAGGGAGACTGGCAGAAGCACTTGCAAAATGAAAACCTTCCAAAACTATTACTACATACTTTCCATAAACAGGTGTGAAGAGCTACATTGAATATGAAACATCTTGGAGATTATGGACTTTGTCAGACAAGTTGCCAAAGCCTGGCACTGTCCTCTCTACAGGATTTGTTGCAAAGGACAATGAATTACATCTCAAAAAGATGCTGCATAGTTGTAATTTCCAGTGTTTCCCTTCATTTTGGTGTTGTAAAGAGTGGACAGAATGAGCTCTGTTGCCAGCAGTTGGGATGATCTGCAATGACCTGGACTAATCCCGCTGACCATTATTGAACAATCAGCGATCTGCATGCCTCACTATCTCTAGTATGTAACCAGACGCGGCCAGGATGAGTAGAGAGCAGCAACCCAAGCATCCTACATTCAGTGGCTCTCACAAGACTGGACAGCAGCCTCTTATCCCTTGCTCATGAAAATGCCAATTGGCATCCTACAATACCTTGATGAGGTCACAGACATGGTAGCAAAGAGGATGCAAAAATCAGAAATTCTCTCTCTTGTCCTTCTGGATGTACACGAAGGAAGAGACTCTTCCATTAGCAAATAACCATTCCTGGTGAACCCTAGTGCAAGGCAGGGGGTGTACTCCCCTGGGAAATTGTTATTTAAACTACCACAAAAAAGGACTATTTCTTGATGGCAATATATGTAGCTATTTCAAAACTGCCGTGGTTTCATTTTTCTCAGATAACACAAAGACAAGGTTAATTTTATTGAAAAATTTAAGTGATATGCCAAGATATCATAATGGTAGTCATTAACCTGGACCCTCTTCATTATTGGCAGCTGAAATCAGGTATGTGATCAGTATTACCTGACAGACAATAAACAGCTGTTCATCATCTCCTATCCACTCTTCAGGTTACACTGGAAGCTTCTTTAGCACAGCAGTTTAGTCAACAAGAAGGAAATGCCTGCTCCTTCCTAAAGAGGGCATGGAAACCATTCTCATGAACAGCACTTCCTCCGAATTTGATTGGACTACCCACATTCAATTACACTCACTTGAAGAACAATGTGACCGCTCCCAATCTTCCAAATACCCTCTGGAGTAGTTTGTTTCACCTCCAGCTTGCAGACTACTTGCTGGGACAACACTGAAACTGTGTCCTCTGCACAACAGAACGTCTTCAGGATTCTTCCTGTCCACAAGAACCAATCCTGGAAACTGTCCTTTCCAGTCTCAGAATCCCTCCCACATACCCATGAAACAAACCTATCAGCTGCAGAAAATCTCCAGGAACATCAAAAAACCATCTATATCAGCCCCAATACATAACAGCACATACAATGAATCATACACTGAGTACATCCAGGGATGGTCTCACTGACTTTTTTATGTTGAGCTAGACAACAATAAGTAAAAGCAAGAGGACATCCTTACAAGTGAGTGAATGAGTGAGAAAGTAATGAGGAAGGACAAGGATAATGACAATAGATCACAGTGGCATTGATTCGCTACACAGGAAACTGATGACTCAGAAAGGTTCCTCTTTAATTTCTATACAGCAGCCACCCCAAAATCATTGCTCACACTGGCCATCATTAATTTGTTGATTTCTTGAAGGCATTCCGATAGAAGTAGTAGATCTTAAAAGTGGTTTTATGGACTTGTTCCTCCACAGCACTCTGCAAGTAAAAGGCAATGAGGAATGCAGATGATAGTGATATACTGAACTTTCAAGGCAGGAGTGAAGGGAAGGAGGCATGCATGTACAACCTAATGAGATGAGATGAGATGAGATGAGATATCAACTCTCTCTGTAGTCAGTGGGAATCTTTCTATTAACTTCAATGAGAGTTCAATCAAGCCCTAAAGGACAAAAATAGAGCAGGTCACTAAAGCAGACTGTGAAAGCGCAAACGGGTTTTGAAGTATTCCGGAGGTGTTAATATTAAAAAGTATGGCCAATGCGATATATTTCTGCAAAGTGAGGCAGCATCTGTATGCTCTGACTAAAGTATGTTTCCCAGGTATGAAAAGCGCCCAGATCCCAGGTACATTTCTAGATCATTATATCATGGGAGCAGCGTAAAACATGTTACCTTCTGACAGGCTGCAAACGATCAGGGCAAAGAAACACATACCTTATACCACTAGGAAGTTGGGATACTCAGATTTCCACTGATCGTGCACCATTTATTTCTAGTCCTGCTGGCTGCTAAGCTCTATGTGACTATTATCTTTTAGTGACTTATAAAGAGAAAAAAAGGAAAAAACACAGGCTCACACAGGTTTGACTCTTCCCTCTCTCCAGTTAAATTTCTATCAGAGGGAAATCTCTATACCCTTCTAATTTTACAAGAAGGGGTCAGTTCTTCCTCTATAGACCATGTGTTGAGGGGATGCATGGATCCTTCTTTTCCCTTCCATATAATCATTCTATTCAAGTCTCCACATTTCTTCCCTCACTCTCTTCAGTGCCAGTCCAAAACTGTCAGCTGATGTAGCATGAACTGCTAGGAAGGAAATAGAGAAATATTTCATGAAATTTCTATGGCGGGATTCCTTTTTTAGATGATAAAAAAACAGTGGTATCTAGCCCTAGCTGTCCTCAGGACAGTAACTATTATCATCATGTAGGAACTGAGGAGGGAGAAAATAAGTAGCAAGCGGAATAATGCACTTTTGAGGTCCATCATCTGGTTATCTAATAGAGAGAACAAACACTTTGATAGATCAATAAGGAAACTTTTTAATGACAGTAAACATTTCTTAGCCCTGGTTCAGACTATGGATCGGAGTTAAAAATGCCAGAATTCTAAATACTTTGCATTTACTAAGTTATACTTATCAGATGCTTTGCTATAAAAATATTACATTTAACTTTCACCAATCAATAAAGTGAATTGCATTCATCAATGATTTGATATATGTTGCTAGATATAAAATACTTAGCACTTAGGTACACATTTCTATGTAAAAGCTTTTCATTATACTAACTTCTGCGATAATTATAAATCTTGCTTGTTGCTCATCCTTCATTACTCCTCCCTCCCTTCCCAACTCTTCTTTTTTTGTAATTCATTTCAAGTAGCTAAAACTGGGTGCAGAGCAACTAAACAATTATCTAGGATCAATTCCAAAGAAACAGTTGAGGAAAACACAAGTATGCTTTATGAGATTCCACTGGGAGGAAAGTTTATTTTTACCTGATTTGTTAGACACCCATATAATTGCCTCTGATGAGATGTGGCTCGTATTTCCTACTGCAATTGTTAATGGAATCTGCCACAAGTAGCTGCAAGACAAAGGAGGGGGAATCTAAGAACAAAAATACTGAACTGATTCTTCTCACAGCAATCAGGAATCATGTCAAAGAAATCAAAACACAATTTCAGTAGCAGTGTAAAGATGTGGATTCTAACAAGTTACTTTGATTTTGAAATTCATTTGCTGTTAGCGATAAAACAATGAAAAAGTCATTCATCTTAAAAAAAAAAAACCTAAATTATATTTTACATTTTTCACACACTATCATCATATGAGGACTTTTTTGCAAGGCTTTCCTAATTTAACAAAATGATTCACGAAAGAGGAAATAATGATTTCCCATAGAAAGAAGAACACTTTTTTACATTTACTTAGAAAAAGAGAACCTCCAGGTAAAACATACTTTGATTTATAGGGACTCCAAAGTTTAAAAATAACATACTCTTCTAGCAACTTCTTAAAAAGCTATGACGGGCTTTCACAGCTGCTGGTTTATAAAAACAAAACGAATAGGATGGATCTCCACTTCTTTGTACCATTTATTATCACTTACGTGTATGCAAACTGGACAAAACATGCTACATGTGGATTTGGAAATATGCTGGTGTAATCAGACCCCAACTTCCTTATAGGGTATCACAAATTGTTTCTCATTTGGAATAAACGTTGTAATTTACCTAAGACTTTTATATAACATCTTTATCTCAATAAACAGAAATTGACTGTATGAAGTCAATCTTTTGGGAGAGAGATGGAAAGGATGAATTCCTGCGTGTCTTCACCATCACCTCTATTCCCGAACTCTCGAAAGTATCACTTCACCAGCCAGTGAAAGAACAGACATTTCCCTCACAGGCCTGCCATGTCATTTTGTACACCACTTAGGGGGAAGCACTCAGTGATGGTACAGGTGGTACCTTTGTCTAGGGAGTATATGTGCATTTAAGCAAAGCAGCATGGCAAGAGAATGGCCCCAACTCAGATATCACCGTATGCTACCACTTTGACACCAAAAAAGTGTATCATTTTAGATTGATTGCATTAAAACGGTGCAAGGATGAGTGTGGGCAAGTTCTTGATGTCTACATCAGCTTCTCTCCTGCTAGTACATAGCATTGCAAAACTAGCCTATGGTACTAAAAAAAATTAGGTTTGCTCCTTTCCGCTTACCCAGAAGCCTGCTCCACTGAACTACAAACACCACCCAAATGTGCCACAACCGCAGTCGACCCGTGCTGGCTTGCAAGGGTTGTCTTGCAAGGCCTGCCTTGCTGGCCTCACTTGGGTGCTGGGGGATGGAGAGACCCCTGCCCTGCCAGCACTGCTGCCACGCTCAGCTCCCGGCTCCCCCCTCATTCGCGAAGAGCCCCCCGCATGCACAGGGGGTTGCAGTGCTCAGAACAGAACCACATGTGCCGGCAAACACTTGTCCATTCAGCAGTGATACAGCAGAGAGGGGGAGATATTTGGAAAACTGTACAGCTGAAAGAGCCATGAGTGACACTAGGAAGAAAACACGGCATTTATTGCCATATGGGAGAAGAAAAAAGGTCCCATGTGATTTTGGGTTCTCTGAATGTTGATATCATGACACACTGGGAAAATTATTAGATCTACTCATGCACCGAAGACACGTTCCACATGAGCACACACTCTGGCAGATGCTTTTTGGATAATTAAGCTCTGGCATTTGAAGATGCTACTGCCTTTATCAGTCTGCCCACTCCTTGTGCTGGACGTTGCACCCTCCATAGCACAGCCAGCAGAAAAGGATGTCCACTGGTGCATTAGCTTCTCCAGTTCTCAGTCTGGGGTCTTCACACAAAGTTACCTTCATTGTTGGCTTAACTAATATTCTGGACTGTGAACTGGAGTAATGAGGTGAAAACGTGTACTGTGTCCTGCTGTTTCTGCTACAGCGGCAGTAAATTCTGAGTTCGACAGGTGAGGGCAGTCAGGAGATGCTGCGAAGCGATGCACCAGAGAATATTCACTACTCTCTTAAATACTTTATACCTTACTAGACACGCACCGGCGTTTTAGAGTCTGCCCAAAAAACCTTCTAGGAAATATATCATCTTTAAAAACACACCCAGTTCTAAATACTCGGCTCTCCAGAATGAAAAAGATGCTGGCAAACTGTTATCAAGAAAAATGAGGCAAAATTAAGCATAAAGCTGGTACATTATTTGAAAGAACAAGAACTTTGGTATATGAAAAAAATGAAAGAACTGCATTTGCATGGTATTTTTATGACTCTTGAGATCAACTCCTACTGAAAAAGTTAAACTGCAAAATAAAAGATTCTGAGAGCTGCCTATGTAGCTTATTTAAACACATATAAACATACATAAATATAAGTGTATGACATCTACATGGACAACTGTTATTTTGAGAAGGAACTTCATAAAAAGATATTCTGTACATTGCAATATCTATACAGAGAAGACTTTTTTATTACTTTATATTATTATTTTATGTTACCTCCAATTAAGGTAAATCCTACTGAAGTAAGGACAGATCCTTCTGTCACCATCCCTGGAAGTATTTAAAAGACATGTAGATGAGGCGCTTAGGGACATGGTTTAGTGGGCATGGTGGTGTTGGGTTGACGGTTGGACTTGATGATCTTAGAGGTCTTTTCCAACCTTAATGATTCCATGATTCTATGATTCTATGATTCTCTGAAAGGTGATCTAGCTGTGGAATAGGAGTCATGTAAGCGACCCATCCTCAGAAAATACATGTGGATTTAGTTGGGAAGACTAGTACTGGTAGATTCAATTTTTATCTTCCCAAGATGAAAGACCTACTGATGTTCTCAGCACTCTTCAGAACCTCCAAACCTTCTCATCCTCTTGGTTATTGGTTTACCAGGTGAACCACAGATTTCCTTTATAATAGACCTCTCCAGAAACCCATTTTTCCTGTTTGTACTGCTGCTGTTCTCTGGATGTTTATCTGCTTTCCCCTTCCAGTCCTCTTCATTCTCAGTGAAACTTCTGCCGCTGCTGCAGAAGCAGCCATGGCTAACTTTTTTATCTGTATGTGAGGGAGATGTATCTGGCTCACCTTTCAAGAATTTTTGTTAGGATGACTTCTCCTAAACACCATCTCTGAGTGATCTGTATGGACTGTGTTCTCCGGCTGTGACTAGGAAGAAGCAAACTTTTTTGTACTTTGCTATCGCACTCTTCTACTTCACAGAGAAAAGAGGAAGAGGGCCCACTTGCCTGTTGTCCTCCTGCTTTGTCTGGCAGTAGTGCACATCTTTTATTTTTTCTTTATACGTTGGGAGCACCTATGTTTTCTGTATGTATTTGACCAGGGTAAGGAGCATCCTGTTCCACCTGGCCATCTGCTGCCTGCTGTGACAAACCAGTTCCAGTGAAAGTAAGAATCCAGTCTCGAGGACCCAGCGACTAGAGCAGCAGGACTTGAGACCACCCATTTGGTCCTCCTACCCTCAAGAATATGTCTGCAGGAATCGGCTCCAGGTAGCACACTCAGGCCCTAGAGCTAATGAACTGTGTGTCCAATCTGCCTGAGATGTTGCTGAGCTTCAGAGGAATCTGCACATGATGTCCCTCTGGATACAAACCTGATCACCTTAACAGGGAGCTAAAGGCAGACCACTTAATTGTGGGGAAATTAAGGGTATTTCAGGAATTTAAGAAACCAACTCTGAGGATGAGGGGGAGAGACATCTAAAATTGGAACAGACATAGTAAATATGAACTGTGCTGTACACAACATAGTTCAGCCATAAATTTCTTCAAGAGATGTAGGAAAGGGGGATCTTGTTGAAAGGTAGTATAAATAAGCCTTTTGATTACAAGTGAGAAACTGTTAATGTGAAATAGTTAAATATAGGTTGACATGCACAATTAAAGGGAATGCTTTGGTGCTTTTTTTTTGGTTTTTGTAGCACCACATCAATGCATAATACTGAAGTGTGTTAGCATCTCCATTCAGCTTGAGGAATAATAAGAGGGACTTGTCTGATGAAGTAATACAATCTTGCATCTGCTAAAATACATGCAATACTAGAAGCTAGCTAATTATGCTCTGATTAGATTATATAGATTTTTTTGTCTTGAGCATTACATAATGACTATATAGCCAGTATTAGTGTACTTTATCTCACTCAGAAAATGATCATATTTGTGATGAGTACTTGCTTACGTCTTGACTTCCAACAAATAAGAACTGAGATCCCTCCATGGGCAAATTCTGAGAGCATAAAGTATTAAGCAAACATGATGCCTCACACTTCTGCCTCTGATGAACAGTAATATTGTAGTAACATTGGATTTTCAGTGGAACAATTAGTTGGCTTCTTTGTAAAGAGCTATGCAAAGCCAAAAAATGGCAGTAGATAGTTTCTTCTGCTGACAAAGCAAAGATCTCAGGTCATTAAAAAAGAAAAGGTAAGGTCCCTGGAGTTTCAGATTTTGCACACCTTTTCAACTACTTTTTCACATTAATGAACGTTTTCACTGAGATGTAAACCCATATGTTTTCAAGATTCATTCTCCCAGTTACCATAATGTGCCAAGCTTCCACCCACTGCCTCTAGTGAATACCACATACTTCCAGTGACATTTCTCCTTTCTCCCCAGATTCAAATCTAAACAAAGAAGTTCAGCTATTCAGTCATTACAGAATAATGAAGATATCTGCTCAATATTCAGAAGCTTATTATCCTTGGCTGCATTATAAAGAGTAGACAAGTAATGTAATTGCTTCATGTAAAGTGACAGAACATCTGTACCTAAAATACCACATCTGAACTTAGCTAATCTGCTTTTTGAATGGGAGAGGACACGAAAAACCACATCCCTCTCTATATCCTTCTGCTTTTACAGACCTCTGGGTTAAACACTCCTAATGCATCCTGCTGTTCTTTATACAGAAACTATACTTAATCCTTGTTATTGTCCACCTCTGTATTTTTTCTACCTATTATACTCTTTTCCAGGTTAGAAAGCCAGATCTGCCCTCCGTGCTTTGAAGGCAGGTCTACCA